ATGACACCATGTAGATGAAATAAATTGCATGCGTGAGGAGCACCTTTCTGAAAAGCACCCTTAATTTCTATCATTTGTTTTTATGCTGTTTTTGGGGGGGGGTTGTTTTTTGTTTTTGTTTTTTGCAGACTGGTTTTATACTGCTGTTTTATGCTGTGGTATTTTTACATTCTTGTTTTAATTTGTTTGATTGTGATTTAAACTTTTTGCATGCTGCCCTGAAAGCTGGTTGAAGGGGAGTACATGAAAATAATACACCCACACAAATTATATGAGAGATTGGGTATACAGCAGGGTCCCCAGTGATAGGAGACAAGCTCATGGGCAGTTGATTTGTGTGTACACTGCCTGTGTGTTCTCACATTCTTCTGAACCCAAGTAAAGTAAGAGATGGAGCTTGCTGCTTTGAGGCTGCTCCTTTCTCCCAGACTCTGGATCAGTTGTCTCTATAGGGCTGCTTGTGTTTATACAATGGTGTATATACATTTACTTAGGCTTTTCCCTTCACACTTCTTCTGAGTCTTTGATCTACTCCATAGTTGGTATTCCAGACTTTTATACAATGTCAGTGCTAAATGCCCCACTCAGTCAGTCAGTCAGTAGGACATAGCTGAAAAATAAACAGTTGAACACTGGACTCTTTCTTTAAAAGCTGTAAAACTAGGATGCAAAAGAGAGATACAGAAATAGACAGCAAACATTGCATTGTCAGGGGAGTAGTTTGTTATATGGATCCATGTTCCTGTTTTGTATGCATTTCCTCCCTCCCTTCTCCTCAGGGATCCTTTTATGTGGCCAGAATAATTCAAGATCATGCAGAATTTGCAGCCTAACAAACTAGAATGCTCTGAGATTACTATCGCTTACATTGTTTTGGTCCTATAAATGGTTCCTTGAGGCACAGAAAAAACAAACCAAATGTATGCATGTATTTGAAGCTCTAACACAATTTCAAAAGCTTGAATATTTTCCCCAGCAGTTCAGCAAGCCTTTAATAAGAAATCATGATGTTGGGGGAAAATGAGAAAGGTTATCGGAGCAATCCTATACTCACATAACCTCAGGTCTGGAGATATACTGCTGTTACAGCCAACATATCTCATGTTTACTAAGTCCAGGTGGGGAGGGGAGGGTAAGAAACCCACAACTGGAAAATTCAAAACAGCATAAAAGTGACAGATATAACCCCAGTGTCCAAAAGAACACTGCCAAAGCCCTCCAGTTAGTTGGAAATGGTGTCATCTATAGCACCCACATGCTACCCACAGGTGGCAGGAGCCAGCAAACTGTTGGCAATGGGGAAAAACACACTGCAGTTCATTGCATCACTATACAGCATACAAGATGATGCTGAAGCAACCTCACACCATCCGCCCCAGTGGCTTAGCCAGCAATGACCCTGCTACTGCTAGGCAATCTCCATCTCTATAGACAAGGGTTCAAATCCACTTATGTTCCTCTCATTTACCTTTTTTATGAGCACAACACACACAGCCTGCAGTGGCTCACTCTATAGGTCCCAGGGTTGGGAAGCAGGAGAGTTCAAGCCCCAGCAAGGGAAAAGGGAAAATATGGCTCAATTCTTCTCTTGCATGCCTGGCTTTAAAAAAAATGTCATGGTGCCTCAAATTTACACTGTAGGCTCCACAGAACAGCTCCCTAACAACTCAGCCACAGCAGCAGGCATCAGACACCTCCTAGAGTATCCTATCTTTCTGCTGCCCTCAGCCTCAACCCCAGGAGTGCAGAAGCTGCAAGATGAGTCCTGGTTGGATAGAAGAGGCCATGGTTTCAATGCAGGGAATACATGGTTCAAAGCCAAGGTATAACACCAAACCCCAGACACACCTGAGCCAATTGGAACACCACACGGACCAATGCCCACCCCTTTTGGTCCATTCCTGGTAGCCCTTGTGACCAATGGAACCCTGCCCTGATATCTTGCCTAATAGGGTGACACAACTAGGTAGGATCCCAGCAGGTAACATTACCCATCTCCATTTTCTCCCACATCCTCAACTCATAGCACCCTTGCAGCAGCCTTCATTCCACTTGTGCTCCCTGATATGCCTATCCATGTGTCTGACTGAGCAAAGACGGAAGAGAGTTATTGCCCCTAGCCCATCAAGCTCTAGATCCAGCCTTACAGTCCCATGCCAGTCTGGCATAGGGGTGCCTAGTAACAGGGGGCAGGAGAGAGAGTAGCAACTTCATTGCACTCAGATGGAGGATCCAGAAAGGGGAAAGCATATATGTGGAGTTAGCACTCCCACAGGTCCCCTGTAACTTGGACAGTGCCTCAACAAACAGCAAGGGTAGCAAGTTTCATGTCCCCTTTGGCATCTACAAGAATACAGGAACCTGACTAAAACAAGTAGGTTAACAACCCCATGGAGGAACATTCAGGAGCATCCCAGTCACTGCTGCTAGTTATGGGGTAGGTCTCATCTGCATGGAATGGGGTGGGAGTAAGGGAGCGGGAGTAAGGGCACTTCCAGACAAGCTATTTATCGAGCATTCATTCTGATTTGCTTGCAGGTAGATTAGATGGCTTTTGGTGTTCACGAATGCTCATAAACCTTTGCAGGGTGGATTAGATGACATTGCGTGAAAGCAAGTGTTATGCCACACTGCCCAGTATATTATATCACTTTCCTTATTGCAAAAAGCCATCATTTGGGTAAGCGGGTTCATTGCACAAGACCTCCCAATCAGCTCAAGTTGTGCAGCCTGAATTCACTGGCATGTGTTTGCATGCCACCTGAAAATGGTGACTGTCTAGAAGTGCCAGGAGAGCAAGGAGAAGCAGGAAGCAGTTGGACCCTATGGTCCCTGAACCTGAGTACACAGTAGATGCTTGTGAGGGAAGCAGAGATCTAGTGGATCCAGGGCTACCTCTACCTCATCCCCCTGCCTCAGTTCAGAGTGCTCTGTTTCAGGAGTGCTGAATGCCAATTGCTGTCAGTGGTAGATACTTGCCTGTGGAGCTTTCCATGGGCACAGCAGAGGCTTCCTTAGCAAGCATGGGTGTTCCACCTGCAGACCTTTCTGCCAGCAGAGGCACCCACCTAGCCTGTGAATTAAGATTGCTCTGTCCATCCTAATGTTTGCAGAGCCACAAATAGACCAGCCTGGTCACAGACATAAGCAGACACCTTGATTTGTTGACAAGGTGTAACTGTGAGAAACCTAAACTTAAAGCTCAGCTGAGGTGCAGCTGGTTTAAATAATAGCAAGCAATTAGGCTGAAGACAAAATCAGCGGTGGCATTTTATAATTACAATTAATTTAAAGGTTAATTTCCTTTGGTGCTAAAATCTTATTTAAAACATTTACCAGGAAAGGAAATTAGGATGTTACTATTAAGATGCATGGAGTGCTTCTGGGAATCCATGCCTATTATCAGTAGAAAATTAGGTTAGGCTCAAAGTGGGAATTTCAATTCATTTTAGTGTATAATAGGTGGCGATCGGGCCTTGAGTTGGTGGGTTTTGGTTAGGGAGACTGTAAGATTTGCATTTCTTTTGTTTGAGGGATTAATTGCAAATGTTTTTAACAAAGGGGCTGGTTTAATACGTGAACAAGCACAACATGAAGAGAAAATTGGTTATGGATTGCTGCCTTCCTAACTAATGAAGTTGATGTTAAGGAAATCCCTGAGAGACATAGATGTGCTATGAAAAAATATTAATAAATAGATTCACACACTGAAAGTGGTGCTGTCACTACCTTCCTATATGTTAATTTTCCTTTTCCCTTATTACCTGGTCCATCCCTCCCCGAACATCCATCACCATCTCCTAAGGGAGCTGCCAAGCCTGGGTTTCAAATATGTCTAAATAATAGTGGTGCTTTGATGGAAGAAACGTTTGCATTGGTTTCTCATCATAACAGAATACTGTTTAATAAAATCAATTCCTGATCACTATAAGCGAAGAGGGATTGTGATCACCATGAATTTTATTATGTTTTATGTTTTTCTTCTTCATCTGTCATATAGTCTTATTACATGAAATAATTTTTAAAATGACTATCTTTTAATGGCAGGGGAATCTTCAGTAGAAATAAACCCCAGCCTTGAATGGTTGGCAAATGTCACAAGCAGTTATAAAAAAAACCCACCTTTTAGAAAGAAATAAATGTTACAAGCTAACTCTTTAAAATTAAAAATTGTAGATTCAGCTAATAACATAACATAATAATTGTTTTATGATTGTAGTAACTGGGAGATTTCTTTAACCTGATTAATTTGCCTCAGTCATTTCTGCTGTTATTCCTCATATTGTTCCTAGCTGGTACTGCCATAACAATAACCAAATGCAAACCGGGATGTAAAGACTGGAAGTGTATTGGAGATTCCAAACCAGGGTTTCAAAGAAACCTTAGCCATGGCCAGCAAAGGTCAGATGTAATGCCAAACTAGGGTTTAGGCAGGCAAAAAGAATTCATACGGTCTAAAAGAAGAGATTGGGGTGGGGGGTGCAGTACCATAACCCAGTGGCGTAGCGTGGGTTGTCAGCACCCGGGGCAAGGCAAGTAATTTGCGCCCCCTAACCCGTGGATTTGCGCCCCCTAACCCGTGGATTTGCGCCCCCTAACCTGTGGATTTGCCCTAACCCCAGATGTTGCGCCCGGTGCGGCCGGCCCCCCCTGCACCCCCCACGCTACGCCACTGCCATAACCTGCTCCTGATTGCTAAACCGTGGCTAACCTTTGGATAGCATTACATTGCAGCAGCCCTAGGCAGCAAATCTAGGATTCCTGGGTGATATAAACCCACATCCCCATGGCCACAAAAAGTTATGCATCTCCCACTACATAATGCTTTATTTCTCATACCCTTCATCCACCCCCAAAAATAATTTTTGAAAACTTAATGGGCTAATGCAGCTAAAGCAGCATCCAGGTCTTTAATAAATATTTCTTTAAAAATGCACTGCCTAGCAAAATTCTATTTCTCTCAAACTCTCATCTGAGTTTTGGCCTGCTAAAATTTACAGCTGAATACCCGATGATGGGAGGAAGAATGGCCTACTGGCTCCCTGGAGCAAACCAGAGTATGTATTCCTTTAAAAATTTGAATGTTTTCTTAGTCTCCTTTGTTCAGGAGGTTTGGTTGGGGGGGGGGAATCCTTGCAGGGCCTTTTCTCTAGTGCTTCTTACCCTGTGGAATCAACTCACCTCTGATATTTTCCTTAGTTTGACCCTTCTAGTACTTCACAGTCACTAGTAGGAGACATGCTTGTTTGGAGTGTTTTTGAAGGGATTTTATGTCTTCTGTTTGCGGGGAATTTTAAAATGTTTGATCTGTATGTGTATTTTTATTGTCTTTGATGTTGTTCTGTTGCCTTTATATAAGGTGATTCTTTGGTAGACAGAACAGGATAAAATGTTTGCATAGACTACATTTTTGCATGCATATATTGTTGTCTGCCACCCCAATCTCCAAGTGGTGTGCAATTCCAGGGGTTCCAGGTGCTTACACCAGGGTTCAGTGCCCTTGTAATGAGGGGCAGTGCAGACTGTGATGTCTTTATAATACATGGCTTATTTACACATATATATAAGCTGAGGCTACAATGGAGGGTCTCACAGCATTCACACCACAGAAGGTCTTGCTTCTCCCATCATCACAGCAGAAATCCAGCATTACTCTCTCCCTCTCAGGCTTCTGCCTGCAGCCTGCTTCCTACCAGCTCTCACAAACACAAGACTGGCTATTGTCCTTCTCACTACCAGCCAAGTGAGGGAAGGAGCCCATCCATTTGCCCTCCAGCACAAAGATTCGTACTTGGGGTCATTACCAAAATATTGCACAGAGGTATTACATAACTGGTCTATGCCTCAAAGTGACCAGCCTCTCTTTTACACACTCTCTCTCTCTCTCTCTCTCTCTCTCTCTCTCTATGCTATCCTTTGAAATGTGCACTTATCTGAATTGTGTAATGCAGTTCTCCAATCAATTACAAAACTCTATTCCAGTATTTCTACAGCGATTTGATTTGTGCTAAAACAATTGATCGATTGCTTAATTTTATTGCAGGAATTGTAATTATGAAAATAAGCATCACTTTGACCATAATATCTCCAACTTTTCATACATTTGATTTTAATTTTGCTTTTATTTGATGGGCTGCTTTATTTTTGTTTGCTTTTTTTTCATGAGACTCTGGGGCTTCTTGAAAGTGTATCTAGGGTTCCTCAGTGAAATCAGTAATAGTGTAGACAAGCCTCCCTGAAAGACAGCTGGCTCTGTTCACAGCTTATCTTGCCCTGTAATCTGAGAAGTTAGGGTGATGTTTGGTGTCTTCTAGAGCACTTGTAGTTTATATGGGCAACACTGAAGTTCAACAGAGCTTACCAGTGCCCTGCAGGAATGGAGTGTGTACCCTAGGACAAAGCCCAGGGTTCTCTGTGGCACACAACAGCTTCATGGGAGATTGTCAAGGGCTCCTCTACAGCCAAGTCAATAGGGAAATTGCTTTAGATTCTGTCTCACTTTTGGTCCTCAGAATTCTCCTTCTCCTGCTGGAGTTTTCCTCCATTTATAGCAGTTGTAGCTCTCTCTTTCCTCCGACCCCCTTCTTTATCTCTTTACTTGTCCAGTAATAAGCTAGCCTACAGCAATCTCCTGCTAACAATTTGTTCCATTAGGGACACAATGATCCTACCATGCTTGCATTTCCTCTAGATGACACTGATTGGGAACAACCTGCAGATTTTTCCAGGCTATTTGAAGCATCTTGGCAGTTTGAAAGTCCTTCAGGGGCAGTTTTAGAATGCCCCATGTGTAAAATGGTCCATTATAGTGAAAATTGTCCTAGAAATATCCTAGCTCAACTGAAACTTGATTCAGGAAGGGAAAAGAATATATATATTTGCATGTATCATATTTCCTCATGGAGGTCTTTATTATAGGCTGTTAACAATACTTTGCATTTATAAAAAGTTCCATGTTCATAGACCAGTAGATTCTGCATGCATTTGTGTGTTGGGGAAAATTTGTGTAGACTTTTGCAGCACTGAACGTACCTGTAGCAAGGAAAAATAGAGACCCAAAAGGCATTGTTTGCTGTGGGTTTTTGGGCATGCTGGTGGTAATCCCCAAAATAGGTACTATGTCGATGAGCTCTAAGGCAAAAAGCAACCAACAGACTTTCCAAACCAAAATGTGCAGTTGCTTATTGCTGTAAGTATTTTTCCCCACATGTAACATTTCTTTGGTCAGGAAATTACTGTAACTTTTGAGTTACAGGCCAATGTATGCTACTGGAAAGATTTGTTTCCCTCATCGTTTGAGACCCAGTAAGGCCCAGTTTATTTTAAATATTTGAATATTTGTGGGGATTTTTTCCTCTCTTGATGTCAAATGAAACTTCAACGACAACATCAACATATTTATTAAGTCAAAAGTAAGAATAAGTGTGCAAGAAAGGAAAGTTTACATGATGTGCAGCCCATTCCTGTGCATGTTTATTTGGAAATAGGTCCCAGGGTTCCATGGGATTTACTCCAAGTAAGTGTGCTGGGGGGAGGGCAACTATTCCAAAGATGTGTATGTGAATAAAGGTTTAGATTGGTTTTAGATTGTAAAATGGTTGCTTTTTGCGTTAGATATTCTTCTACATAGAAGAGTCAAAAGTTCACAGGAGAAATGAAAAACGTTTCTGAAATCAGGTTCAGTGAAGATGGTTACCGTAAATTACTACAGTATTTCATCTATTGTCAAAAGGTTACTATATACTGATAGATTCTTGTTTTTTGGTTGTTTTCATTAACTACTTTTCAGTTAAAATTTGTACACTAATTTTGCAGACATTTCATGACTCTGATTTGGCAAATGTTCAATCTAAACATTTAAGACTTCTCTTTTTCTTTTTTAAAATTCTAATTATAAGTATCGTTGTGTAGTTTTAATAGAAACAAAAAATGAAAGTTCACAAGAGAGTAATGTGCACAGGAGAGTCAGAGTTTCAGCCTATGAACCTGGCAATTAAGGAGAAATAGAAACATAATCAAGATTTGACTCTCCGCCTGTTGGCTAAAAGGTTGAGAGCAAAAATACTGTAAAGCTAGTAAGTTAAAGAATGGGAGAGTTGCAGGAGAGAGAAAGGACCAAAACACTAAGACGAAGGATCAGAGAACCCAATTGGGACATTATAGCAGAAAGGAGCCAGGAAAAGTCCACAAAGGGACCCAAAAGCTGAACCCATAAGAAATAGTGTAGAACAGTTTTGTATGCGTATCTCTGTTTATTTATATATATATATTCTAAAAGCATGTTTTCTGAAACTGCCTCTAAGTGTTGCCTCACTAAGACACTAAGTAAAAGCATAGCTTATTTTAGGGAGGGGTCCCTGAAGCCTTCACACCTGTGTGCCTGTGCCATATTACTCCACTTCGTGGATGTAAAGAGGAGTGGGAATACATCGAATTTGTGGCAGTGGTGAGGACGATGGGTTGGTTTGGCTATTTTTGCTTTCTTCCCTTCCCTCTCATAGTGTAGACCACAACAGCCCATGGTGCCACTATGTCTGAAGTGTGACTTCTGGGCCACTATATGACTAGGGAAGGAAGACTCAAGAATTGAATCTACATCTGTGAATCAAGTCTTCCATTGTCCCTCTTCTCTGATCTGAGCTTTTTAATAGCTGTGTGTGTTCACATTTGATACCTGGAAAGGGAGAAATGGGCAGGACAATCCTCACTGTATTCTGCAGGGCTATAAGTGCTGAATATATCACCAGTTTGGAAACAGTCCAAAGCTCAGGGAAATCTCAGAGAAGGGGAGGGCCTTTATGATACAGATGTTATTTTATTTACATTTTATTGATCCAGAGTTTCTGAAGGAAAATTAAATGAAACTGCCCTCAGTCACAGTCTGTTAAACATATCAAAGTTTTACTAGAAAATCATTTATATGACTATTCCCATGATAATCTTATCATACAACCTTGCCCTCATCACTGCAACATTTTAATCATTTTAGAATACACGCCTATGCACGTCTAGTCAGAAGTAAGTCCCATTGCATTCAAGTAGATTTCCTCCCAGGTTACTGGATATGGGGTTGCCACCACAACCAAATTATTTTGTAGAGATGGATATTTAAGGCCAAGTCATACGTTACTTTCCCCCATGCAGAGGTTCATAAATATGGTTCCCGCCTGGTGGCCTCTGCACAATTGGGACTTATTTGAACTTGGACTTACAGCAGCAATAAGCCAAGCACAGAAATGCTACATGCCTGTGTTGGTGGGACTCCCACACTAAACTCAACACATAAATGTCGTATTCCACTATACATAGTGCTGTCATGAGGAAGCAGTGATTAGCAGCCTCCACACTGAATGGGTGATGTATGATTCAAGTCATCTGATTTCTTTCAGTTCTGTTAACATTTGCTACTAGGCTGACTACTTGGTTGAAAATGAGATGGATGATTGTGTTGTTTTACACCATATTGCTTTCCTTCTGTCTGCCCATCTGCTTTTTTCCAGCTGACTCACTGCCCTTTGTGAGGCCTGTAAAAACCCCACATCTATAACCTGTGCTAATGAAAGCCCTTCTTTTCCGGGGAGTTGCTATTCCTTGTGAAAAAGCTTTTGCAAACATTCCTTCCTACAGATAGCAAAACCCAATTTATGGTATGTTTTAGTGAAGTTGCATAGGTCTGATCCATGTCTTTAGTGGAGGATTTGCTGAGCAGTTGCTGCTACTGCACGCTATTTCTAAAAAATTGCAAAGGTTAGAAGGTGGTTTTGTTTGCTCCAAGAAAGCTACTACCAGGGGGGAGGGAACAGCTTAGCAAACCTCTGTGTGTGTTCGTGTGTTCCCATTTGCATGAATGCAAACCATTTGTTGGGGGTTTGCTCAGTATGTGCAGTGGTTTTGAAAGTGAGCAGTGGCAATTGCCTTAGGTGACTTCAAGACATTTGTACTGGAGTTGCCAACCTTTTGAGACATGTGGGAGCAATTGGGAGTGTGCCATGCAGTGCCATGCAGTACAGTTTTTTGTAGGGGAACAGTTAGGGCCAAAGATATCAACTTATGAGGGCGATTGGGAAGAGTGATGTTGTATGTGTGAACATCGTGCCTCCCTTTCTAAGTCAGGCAGAAGCTTCCTGGGCTTTGGGAAGAAGGTGCCAGCTTTAATAATTTAATACTCTAATTTACCAGGAACATACAGGGGACTAGCCTAGTCCCCCTAGTCCACTGACCACATGTCACTGGTTCCATGTACACCAACTCCTCTGGTTACTTCTCTCTCTTCTATTCCTGGGTCACTCTCCCCCAGGCAGACATAAAGAGGGAAAGCGCATGCGCACACACACACCCTACATCATTTGCTTTTCAAAAAGGTTTGAGTAAAAAGACCGATCCAGTGGAATTAAAATAGATCCTCTTGCTTTTGCATGATTTTACATTGAGTCAACCTCCCCACCCTAACACCATCAAATAAATGCTTAAATTAGTAGACTGCACAGTAAAAATCACAGTGCTTTCCAGGGTTGCTATGGCACAAATGCATCTATCCAAGGCACAGATCCTCCTGAATTATCCAGAGCTCTTAAACAGGATGACAACAAAACCGCCACTAAATGACAGGACACATGAATGGACACAGATTTAAAGATGGTTCTGAGAGGATCAGTCTTTAAAATTATGGTGATCTGCATGGATTTTTTTGCTTTGGATCCATTTTTTGTTACCATGGCAGTGTTGGAAAGCACCAGATGCATTATTTTTATGGTTCAGCCAACGAGATAAGTGGTTTGCATGGTGGCGACCCCAAGAGGAGGAAATCTGTTTTGATGAATGTGTGTGTGTGTGTGTGTGTGAGAGAGAGAGAGAGAGAGAGAGAGAGACCATGACTGATCACTTTTCCCTGCCATTCTCTCTTCCCTGACTCCTGCAGCATCTCACTTTATCCCCCTGCCACTGCCTGTCTCCCCACAGTCTCCCAGATCAGTTACCTTTTCCTCCTACAACCTTGGTCATTCCAATCAGAGCTGAAAGGGGAAGTGGGGAGTAGCTTTTCACTTCCAGTCTCCCTCCCTTAGCACTACGTGCTTTGGGGGGCGGGAAATAAGGGCACAGTGAGTGGAGGCAGCACTAACTTTCACAGGTGATGTATTGTGCTTACAGACGCCACATTGGCGATCCCAGCTTTAAAAGCACCAGTTGAAGGATTATGATCTAGAGCCCTATTTTAGCATTGAATTTAGGGCCAACAAAATAGTATGGTAGATTTTTGCAACAATGTTTTTAATGCAACAGTCCCAACATGAGATAATGGTTGATTATCTGAGACTTACATCAAGGCTCAGCTAACAAGGCCTTTTCATCAGACCCAGGCAGTATTTGTCACAAGATAAGTCGCAAGTGCTACATGATGGTTGTGCAAATCTACCCTTGTCTCCATCAGGATACAAAAGAAATCCTGATTCCCAACATAACATGTTGCCCATTGCAAAGTACAGATAAAGACCACAAAGATTCATTTTGTCTTTCTTTAGTGGTAAAGTACATTAACTAAGGCCCATTTGGCAAATATCCAAAATAAAACCTGTGACACAGTCATTTATAGCATGTGTGGGTACATCTCAAAAACCAGCCTCCTCAACAATAAACTCAATGTTTTCACCATTGTCACCATCTGTCTCAGGACTGGGTGGCAAATATGCAGCCTTGTAAAGAAATGAATCTGTTTTCCCAGGCTTTTGAGGAAGCAGGATTATGATTTCTCTAAAGACACTGTGGATGCATTAATATTTATTACAACAAATAAATTACCATTGCAATCTAATAATATTTTATCCCTTTCTACTGGACTTGAAGGAACAGATGTGAATTATTTATCCCCCAACTAGAAAGTTGCAGTGGACACTTGCCAGCCCATTCTGCTTTATCTGCCGTCTGTGAAAGATACTAATGTGATGTCAGAACAGGCACTTTGACCACTGCTGCCATCTCCAGAGGAGGAATAAATACAGATATACACAGGGGCAACTTATTTAGGCATTAGCATGCCTGAATAATCTACATGTTTTCTGATAAACTAATTGTGTAATCTTGTAAATAGAGGAGTAAATCACATTGGAAACTACCAGTGTGACTTCCAGATAATCATGCATATGACGGGTCTGTAAGAAATTTTAAAATCATGCCTCCATGAAAGAAGAGACTGTAAGCTTTTGATGTTTCACATCAATGGGATTATGCCTCTGCACTTTCAGATTTGCTCCTGAAGAAACATAGTTAAGAACCCTAACTGGTGGTGATGTTCTTAAAAGATCAAAAGCAACTTTTCAGTGTGTTTGATGAATCAGTTTAGGATTAGAACATCTGTGGTCATTCAGTCAATAAGGTTTATTTATTCAATCCCATGCCAATACTATCAGACATTAGAAGCTGCATGACACTTTTAGTGACCTTTTAGGTTCTGCCAAAATAAAATGCCCAGTAGAAAGGACATCAATTGGCATGGGGTTTGGAGACTATAATAAAGCCACGAGCAACTTTTAGATCAATCTGGTCACCACCACAGATTCAGCAAAGCTAAGTAGGAGTGTGTCATGAATAAGGGGGACAAGATTGCATTGTACTGCTAGTTTGCATACATTGGGAATCATCCTTCTGGAACCTCTCTTCTGTGCTCAAGTCTTTACAGACTTACAACACCCTAAAACAGATGCCCACCTCCAGGCTTCTTTTGTGATGGTACTCACCTATACAGAGTACCACCACTTTTCTTGCTGCCCATAGCATCTATTTTATGCTGGCACCCATGGAATGTTTGTCAATATACAAGAACCATCATGCCATTTTTTTATGCCCCCACCCCCCGCAAAGCACTGCACACCCCTTTCCCCATATGAACCTGCCTGGACCCAGAGATTGACTTTTGATGCCCTTCTCTGCATGCTGCCTTCAAGGGGGGGTCTGGAGGGTGGCGATGAGAGAATGTATATTTTCAGTGGTAACTCCCTAATTATGAGATGCTTTCCCAAGGGAGGCTCACCAGGTCCCAACTTGGTCATTGTTTCAGTGCCAGACATTTTTTTATTTGCTTATTTTCCTGGGCCCTTGATGGGATGCTTTTATTCTCACTACGTTTTTCATATGTTTATGCTTTTATATTATTGCTATGTTGCTGTATTTTATTCATCTTGTAAATCTTTTGGGGATCTTGTTGTGGCGAGTAATTCACAAATTCAGTAACCTAACCATTCTGCTGAAGAATCTCCCAGAATTCTAGTACTCAGGCCATCCAAAGCAACTGACAAGAAGCAAAAAAAGAATCACTTTATGCTATGAAATTCATTGCCACAGAACATTAAAACTAACAAGTAGTTAGTAGTGATGGTTTCCTTGAGTACCTGACAGAATAAATCAGGAAGATGGCATATAAATTCACTGGTTCCAAAGCAGTCTACTGGAACAAAGAAACAATGCAATTGTGCTCCCTTGGAAAATATAAGGTCTGACCATGTCCATCTAGGCTGTCTTTAGCACTTACTGGAATTCACAGGTTCCTTGTAAAACCTGGGATAATTTTTCAAAGAGCATAGATCCATTTCCTTTCATCTGTTGCTCACAGAACCAGTGTGGCAGCCTGATGTGACACAATAATCACAACCAGTTAAAACATGGAGGCTGCAAATTATTGGTTTACAGCCTCCAACAAATGTGTAATTTATACATTCCAGTCAGGTGGGCTGCTCATAAACAAGAAGAGCAATGGTATATAGATAAATTGTTATAATCTGTGACTGGCACGCTGATGAAAACTTGCTCTCTATATAGTCATTACCCTGTAGATTCTGTACTTTGTTTGCATTCTCCAGAATCAATCACTTCCATTTTAATAAACTATTAAGGGCGGGGGAGGTTAGCCAATGTAATATGCATGAAAGCTTGTTTTAAAAGGAAAATGCCTATCACTTCTGAGAATGTCAGCAATGAATGCAATTTCCTCCTTTTCAGTTGACTTCATAGGTGGATTTGACTCTTACGGCTATCAAGGCCCACAGAAGACATCTCATTTACAGCTACAGCCCATGTATATGTGAGTACCTAGCTTTCAAGTTACTCTATCAACTGCTAGATGTGTATTAATGATTTAAAAAGTAGCACTTTTTAGGAAATGTCCAAGAACTCCTTTAAAAGTACATCCGCTTGATATGCATTACTTACATTACAATGCTGTTGTATGAGTAGGGAATCTCAGGTTTGCATTTTTCCACATGGAATGCACTGAATGCCATTTCCAGCAACAGCCAAGCATATTCACCGCTTGCATGGAGAGTCCATGAAATTTTACCATCTACATCATCTTTCAAACAACTATTCCTGTGGATCTTTCTCTCCCAGCAGCTTCTCTGTTGATGAAAGTACATTAGCCCTCATTTACCTCTGGGTGAACGCCACAAATAGTGATCCTATTATTATGCTCAGCTGTCAGACTATTTGTGAAACATGGCAGCTTTCTCAAAATACAGTTTCTCATCTGCGTGTGCCCAAAGAAATGCTTTTTCACTTTTGTCACAGTGTTCTACACTTACAAAATGTTATTTCTTCCTGTCACTGTTTGTGGCTCCCAGGTACTCAGAACAATTCAAATCCCATTTCTTCCTTCATATAGTATACCTTGCCATCAACATATGGAGCCTTCTAGCTGAGATATTATCCCATTCTCTTTATGTCCTCTGCTTTGAGAGTAGCTGATTGCATTTACAGAGTTTACAAACACTGGCTGGGAAGAAAGCTGAAGCTGTAGGGCAAAGAAGTCAATATAAATTTTGAAGCTTGTAGTTGAGAACAAGGAAACACAGGAGGAACATCTGAAACTCAGTGCAGGTTTGTTGCCATTTTGCTCCAGTACTGCTCACTGACATGTAGGAGATATTGGCTATATGCAGAAGACAACAGAGCTGTTGATATTTCTAGTAAAGCGACAAAGGACACAAATTTATCATATTAGGCATGAGAAGTATCCATGTTGGGAAAGAGAATAGGAGAGACTTGCATTTGCTTGCTCTCCTTTCCCCTAACCCACATCAGTAAGACTGCAAGGAGTTCAGAAGCTGTTGGAGAGAACTGTTGTGCTTCTGTCCTGCTTGCAGGCTTCCCAATCTGGCTGGCAAATGTGAGAACAGGATGCTGGACTAGAGACCAGCAGAACCTTTCTTCCACTCATAAGCTTTTGCTGCTGCTTTTTTATTATTATGTGCAGCTTGTCACATCACCCGAACCCAATAAACTGTGGTTAACTGTAACTATGTCTTTTGAAACAAGCCAACATCAAACCATGGTTTATGAAGCTGACTTTTTTTCAACAGGCCACAGCTAAGATTAACCACAGTTTGGGCTGTGTCGTGCTAAAGCTTCCAATCTCCTTCTCATGGCCATGTCAGCAAGCATGTAAGCCCAAGGTTCACCTAGACTCACAATAGTCAGCCACTGTCATAATCCAATAAACCCCTTAAGACCAAATTTATACAGATATTTGTATTTAAATATATAAAATACCATATTATATATATTAAATATATAAAATACCATATACAGATATTTGTATTTAAATATATAAAATTCTAATTAAATGTTTTGTGTTGAAATATTTATTTAAATACATTTTATTCTAGCTCAAGATATGCAGTTCTACACATATTTTATCCTAAAGCACATTTTATGCATTTTGGTACTTTTTTTTTTTTTTTTTGAGCTAAAAGGCCATATAGCAAAACTGAAAAAAGTACTAAATTGAAAGTATAATTATAGGCTTGTTCATGTGCTACCCTGAGAGGTGCGAATTAGGTCACTTTGCTTTAAAATGCAGAGCAAACAAAGTTCTCCTTGTAGGGGATATAGCAGGAAAGCAGTAAGCATTTTAAAGATCATTTCTGAAGGGCTTGGGAGTTGTTTTCTACCCTTCTTGGGGATTTTCAGGATTCTGAACCAGCTGTCATAATCAGCCAAATTTCAAGCAAAATTATGTATGTGTTGATGCATGATCAACTAGCATTCTTGCTTATGCCCCATACATTGCTCTGTGGCATTCTACCATGATAGAGCCTGCTTTCATCTAATTGCACTGAAATACTCTTGACTTGTCAACGAGAGCAACAATATGGAACCACTAGTGCAAAAGATAACTGAACCCCCATAGAAACTCTGCAACATTGGATTATTAAAAATGCATGCCACCAAATATTTGCATTGTAGAATAAGCAAGTACATGGCGTCAATATTTTTGGTAGTCTAGGAAATAATTTGAAGGAGAGAGACGCTCAAATAGACAATAGAAAGCCAGACTCCTTCAGGGCTTCACTATAGAAACATTGGGAGAGAGAGAGAGAGAGAGAGAGAGACGGCCGATGACAGTATGTAATATCAAATGCATAATGTGTTGGAAAAATTGCTCAAGAACAGCTCGCCATTACAGAAGAATTTTCCTGTCATTCTCTGAGGAGTTTCAGCCATGAAATGATCTGCCTTCTATACAGAGCCAGTGTCATGAAGGCATGCAGTTTGCTTTATGAAGCAGAATTCCTGCGACTAGTGAGATTCTCAGATCTTATGGCCTGATTAAAACTCATTAGGATTTACTCATTAGGGTCACTTTCCCCCTTCATGTCATTGCTATAATCCGGACATTTACATTAAATCCAATGTTTCTCTTGATGTATTTGTTTCCCAAACAAAAGAACTCCTCTACATCTGAGGCCTGCTGCAGGGCATGGCATCCTTCCTTAATTATGTCATTTGCATTTTCCTCTTCTTCCAGAGGAGAAATGCCAAGGTGCCATGCTGTTGTTTCATTTATAGTACACCAAATGCTTTGTGCAACCCCAATGCTGTCATATTTACCTTCGCAAAATGTATGAGGTGGGCTGCATAGCTCCATTTAAATGGATAGCCATTCTGAACAGGGCTAATCTGACAGGGTGACGGGGAGAAGGTAGACCTGAAGCAACACTCACACTGATCATCTATGAGGGAGGAAAAGGCTATAGTGAGGGGGGCTGCTACAGCCCAGCTCTTCTCTCCTCACACTTGACAGATGTGTGAGGCTGTCAACCTCCCTGTGATCTTCGGATGAAGGCAATATTTATTATTATTATTATTATTATTATTATTATTATTATTATTATTATTATCACAGCTAGTCACCTATTAAGATAGGAGTGTGGAGGGGAAAGGTGGGGCCCAGACTCATACTTGGCATTCTCTGTCTGCTCTCTAACCTGTGATTGTTGGTGCCATTGTCTGAAGGAGATTAGGTGTTTCTTAGAGTATACACATGATTTCCATGAACATCACCTTAAAAGTGTTTGATGAGTTGTGAACTATATATGCCAATGGGCAATGGCATCTAAATCTTTCCTGTATGTATATTATTTTGAAAATTCAACAAAAAATAATCCCCTCAAAAAAGTGTTTGATGGGTATACAAACCTTTGTGCTGATTATATATATATATTTCCGTCTCTTTCTTTTAGGTCCAAGTAGACAAAACAAAGTCTGTGGTTGGGGTCGAAGGACTAGTCAAAGAACTTATTCCAGCACGGCCTCCTGTGAGTGCAAAAGAAGGAAGAAGTCTTAACTTTTCTGTTTCAAAATATAATACTAGAAGAATGCTGGGACACGGAGACCTCACTTTCTCACAAGTACAGACTGCAATGCACAAGATCCTTTCTCTCCCATCTTGGATTTTCCAAATTCTTATACAGAAAGTTCAGAAGGAGAAGCGGTGGCACCATCTTCTGGTCACTGCCTGCCTTCTCTTCCCTTTGCTCCTGCCTCTGAATTATGAAAAATATCTCATCCATTTTGGTTCTGTCAGGAGCCGTGTCCTCTTAGTCAATAAACACTAACGATACCATGATGACCTTGAAACAGAAGTCAATAGACAGCAAGTTGTTTGCCCTAAAGGCTGTATAATACATACTTGCCTTAACCTATCCTAAGTTACACATCAGAGAAATTCGGTGTGGACTTTCTGAAGTAACTTCCTTTAGGCTCAACCATGCTGTTCATTAATTGTTAAAGATTTCTAAGGCTGTGTCAGGTAATAGACTCTGCTCCCCAGTAGTTCCAGAGTTGGCTGTGTAAGAAAACCACCCGCTGGCAGACAGAAGAGGTGCTTTAAGTCTCCAGAAGGGCTGGGATGCAAATACACTTTAAAATACTTCTAACAGAACTGGGCTCTTTGGGGAGCTGGAAAATGCTGAGGGGAAAAGGAACATTTACTAAAGTAATAACTGTAAAGAAACAACAAAAACAGTGCTCCTTAACCCCACTGTTTTTATTTACTGCACTCTAGGTGCTTTTATAAATGACTCTAAATATGTCTTTTACTAATGACAGAGACGTCTGCATTATTTCTATCAGCAGAGGCCAACTGAATATGTATTAACTATGTTTACTCTTTTATAACTTAATTCCAGTTGAAAATCCTATGTAGGTGAGCTTTTTTAAAAAAAGAAAAACCTGCAGCATATAAGATATTTCTTTCTGGGTTTTGTTTTGTTTTTTTAGTTGGGGTGGGAGTAGTTGCGTTGGTAACATTTTTGAAGACCTTTTTGTGATATTTGGGGGATCTGTTGTGTGTTAGAATGTGTATCTTAACTTTCTGTATTATCGTGGCTGGGAAAAAAAAGCTGTGCTGTTATGTAGTTGGCAACAAGATGCCTTTGGAAACTTTGCTAGTAGATCAATGTCTTTATGAAATACTCTTGGAGTCCTAGAAACGTCTGTTTGTTCTGAATTTGAGCTGTATATTCAGCCACTTCATTGGCTTTTCAATGGGAAGAGATATTTTGCTCAGGATTTTTTGGAACCGGAATTGCCCTCATTTCTTTATTTAAAACTTACATGGGTATTCCAGCTGTAGGCACTTGATGGGGGAGAGGTTCTTCTACAACTTAGCAAATTGCCCATCAAGTCGTCTTCAGGCAACGTTTTTCTACACTTGCCAAATGTTTGCATTCTGTGTGGCCTATAAAAACCATCATTCCCCATGACAACTTTCAAAGTCTGTTCCTATAGAAACACCAGTCCAACTCACTCCACCTCACATTTTTGTATCTTTCAATGGATGTAACATGTCACAGACAAAAATAAATCTGGATGCGTACAGGACAGACATGCACTATAAACATAATCAGATTCCAGCAACTAAAGTGGAATGGATGTAACCAAACTGTACTATGAGGAAATCTGCGTAGTATAGTGGATAATACATGTAAATTTCAAAACTGTATTCCTGCAAGATCAAGCATCCTACTCTTAAGTAGTTGCATAATTGTATCTACACTGCACTGGTGCAGATTTTCAAGGTGCTCTATAATTCTTGTTGGCTTGTTCGCCATTTTAGGCTCGGACCAGAAGTCACTGTAAACCTAACATTCACTCGCTATCAGTGGAATTAGTCTGGGATATGATGCATGAAGTATTGCATCCTTAACTTTACTTTTCAGATAGGTGAGTTAAGGAGCATGGACCATGTTACATAGTGAAGCAGCAGCAACTCACTGACATTCTATCTCCGCTTATGGGGATAGACACAGCATATCAGCAAACTTATATATGTATTCTGGCTCTGGAGTAGAGTTTTGATCTCCTGAATGCATATCCATAGCTCAGACTCCTGGTTTATTAAAGAATGATGACTATACTTAACTACACAATTTTTGGAGAATCCATTGCTTTATATAGGTTCGATCTTGCTAAACACCATAAAGGCCTAATTACTTTAAAAATAATTGTGTTTATTTTTTCTGTTTGTATAATCATATATATATGGGAGTGTACCAACACCAAGCTTCCTCAAATTCCCTATCAGGAAATGTTTGTGAAGTTTGTGGTTCAGTTCAGTGTTAGCAAATATGAGCAAGCTAGCCAGTCAGCCAGTGCTATTTCATCGGCCTCTAGGATGATGGCACTTCTCTACCTTTGCTTCCCATGCCTGCACCGGTATCTACTAGGAAACAGCCATCTTGCTGCAAATAAATGGTATACTTTCCTAGAATGTATCCTGCTACCCCTGCTGCCAAATATTGCTGTATGTTTTTAAAAGCAACTGCATCCACTGTAGAACAAAGCTGAATGAGAAGAGGGAAGTATGTTCCCTTATTTCCTGTGGGCTGTATCACCCCTAGTGCAAAAGCCTCCATGAAAGATACAGAGTTTCTCGAGCTCATGTGCAGGTTTACAAGGATCCAGACTTGCTCTTATAGCAGCACTAACAGCAAGTGCCAGCTGCTTTTCAGAGTGCAGCGCAATAGTATGACTAGTGAGTGTCCAGAAAGGAGAAGTGCTTGTAGGACAGATGTCGGGTAAGGGAACCACTTTCTCTGCTTTAGTGTGGGCACTGTCCCAACGAGAGATGGGCTTTCACTATAAAAGGGACTCCCAACTGAGTTCTCCTCCTATAGGAATATATTTGGCTAGAACTTCTTTCCCTGAATTTGTCTAGGTGTACTGCAGGCTTCTTCCCTCTAGCAATGCCCCTGGGGAAATGGAGTTGAAAAATGACAGTGAGGCGTTTTATTTCGGTTTGGTTTTTTTGCAAGAGATCAGAGAAAAGAGAAAGCTACTCACATTTAAAATGGATTGGCATGCGGAGGAGCAGAGGCGCCTGGAGGTAAGACGAGAAAGTCGCTGAAGACCATGGTCTTCGAGAAGTGAGATGGTTCTGCTATGACTGTAAGAGGAGAAAGAAGGTTAGAGTGCCTCTTCTCCTAGTGCAAGAGTAAGCAAAAGCAGAGAATTTTGAGGCATTGCGATGAAAATTCTACACTTTCGATGCTGCCATACAAACACACACACACACACACACACACACACACAATAGGCCTTCATACTTGCTTACATTGCAGCTAAATCACTACCACCAAAACAATTTCAAGACTGTTGACTACTACAGTGGATAAACTAATGGACACATCTGCTATGGAAAGAGTTTTAGAGCACAGTAGTGTGAGAATATCTGAAATGCTGTTGTTGAATTGTACAGCTGTATCCTCCTCAAAAATCCAGTGAAGAATGTTATTTTTCTAGACTGGGCTTTTTGTTGTTATAAATCCAAATATTTAGAAGGCAAGTGTTAACAATCCAAATGTCCTTTTTTTCTTATAGTCATTTGTTAACTCTGAATGTATTTTTAACAGAAGGTGGATTTTTTTTTGACTAACTAGTGTAATTTGCATTTTAAAAAAATAAATGGAAAAATATAGGTTTCCAAGTGTTTCATGGACTCCTGCTGCTTTTCACAAGTTTTATAGATTGCAGTAGATTCTCAGAAGAGCAAAAATACAAAAAGGAACAATCCTATTATATTTACATGAAGGCAATTTTGAGCTGTGCTCCACACAGATGTGTCAGCACTGAACAGAAATTGCCAGGTCATGACATCATTTTAACTCAGTCATAGGTAACTGGTATTTTCATTATCTACTGACACTAAAAGGCTACTTTTACAAGGCTGACTGTAATAGACTCTCTGTCATTTAGAATACGCCTTTTTTATTTTGTTCTCTCATCAGTGAATGTAAGCATGTGATGGGTTTACAGCAGCCAACAATGTTAACTACTGCATTAAGTAATCCCTGTTAAGAGGGAGTAATATTCTATTTTAGTACTGAATCCTCAGCAGCTGCCCAGAGGACTCCCAAGTAGAGAAGAGAGGGAAGAGGAGGCTGAGGGTGTTCGAAAAAGGGTGAGGGGCTGCCTGAGCCACAGTGGTGCCGCAGAAATAATGTAGTTGGTCAAGGGAGCCGTGGACTCAAAAATGTTGAAAAGCTCTGTCCTAAGACTTCCAAACTGGATCTCATCACTTAATCTGAAATTCCTGTTTTTAAATCTTACTACAAACCAAAGCCCCTTCCTTCTTATTCACGTGGGTATCAACAATACTGGCAGACACTGCCTTGAATGTACAGCAAGGGACCATGGGACTCCGGGTAGAAAGCTGGGGCACAGGTGGTTTTTTTCATCACTCTTTCCTGTTGAAGGTCATGGCCCCAGAAGAGAGAGGAAAATACGGGGAATAAACAACTGGCTGTGCAGGAGGTGTTGTCAGGAATGATTTGGCTATAGTGGTTGGCAAGAATGTCTTATCTTGCAAACCTGGGAGAGGTAGTCAATGCAGAAGACAGAATCGGGATTCAAAATGACCTTAACTGATTGTGGGCCAAAACTACCAAAATTATTTTCAATAGGGACAAATGTAAGATTCTACACTTAGGTGGGAAGAACCAACTGCACAAATATAAGGTGGAGGACACCTGGTTTGCTAGTAGTACAGGTGAAAAGGATGTAGAGGTTTTGGTAGACCACAAACTTAACATGAGTCAACAGTGTGATGTGGCAGCAAAAAAGCTAATGTTATTCTAGGCTGCATCAACAAAAATATAGTGTCATTGGAAGTCATAGTACTGCTCTATTCTGCTTCTGACAGACCGCACTCAAGAGTACTATGTCCAAGCTGGAATATGTGCAGAGGGGGGCGACCAAGATATTCAAGGGTCTGGAAACCAAGGGAAAGAATTATGTTGTTTAATCTGGTAAAGAGGAGACTGAAAAGAGATATGATAGGCTAGCCATCTTCAAATATCTAAAGGGCTGTCTTATAGAAGATGCAGACAGCTTGTTTTCTCCTGCTTCAGAGGGTAGGACCCAAACCAATGGCCTTAAGCTACAAGAAAAGAGATGCCAGCTTTCTGATGGCAAGAGCTGTTTGACAGTGATGGACTCCCTTCAGTGGAGGTTTTTAAGCAAAGATTGAATGGCTGTCATGGATGCTTTTACTGAGCTTCCTGCATGGCAGGAGGTTGGGCTAAATGACTCTCAGCACCCTTTCCAACGCTATGATTCCATGATTTTAGTAGCTGAATTCAAATTATAAAAATCATTCTAAATCCTAACCTCTACAATCAAGCAAACCTCCACCTAATTTTTCCAATAAAACTAGACAATGATGACCTTCAGTACAGCATCAAAACAGAGAAAGCAAATGTAGATTTAATACACTGCAGAATTTATCATAGCTGCAATAAAAGCCTTCAGCGCCAGTTGACTAAACTGATTTGATGTTTTGGAATTTCAAGCAAAACTCAGTCCTGCACAGCTTGTGACTTTTCCAATTGAATGGTACTCACCTGCCATGTTTGGTGGCTTTCAAGGTGTTTGAGAAAGCGGCTTTTCTTGCCAAAATATGGCAGTTGTAAAGCACTTGGTCTTGGACTGAAGCCCACACGAAGCTTAAAGACAGGAGGAGCTGTGGGGCAGCAGACCTGAAATACTGAGTTGAAAAAGGATCCAGGTAACAGGGAAATTAACAGGAAGCCTGGAGGCAGGGTGTCTCAGGAAGTGAGCCAAGGCAGTGATGAACTTCAAGTTCCCGTTGCTAAGAAACAGGAATGTGAGGGCTAAACTTCACGCCTACCTGGCTGCTATCTGCAGTAAACAGTACCTTTTGGAGGCAAATAACGAGGGAGGGTGGAATAAAAGTAGGCGACTTAAGAACACTATTCTAGAAACATGAGCAACATCACAGGCAGCTGGGCCATTTGAGAGAGCAAGGTGGAAGAGGTTGAGACCTAAGAAAACACTACCATGATATTTGTTTCTTTATGAGTTGACAGATTTCAAATATTCTTATAAATAAAATAAAGACAGGAATGAAAAAGATGATGAGTTGAAGAAAGAAGGGCCAATCAGGGGGAAATGTAGAAAAAACTCACAAGAGATCTAAGGTCAGGGGAAGTGGTACATTTTAGGCAGGCAGAGAAATTGTGGCAGATAACTAGAGTCCTGGGTAATAAAGGATGCTAGCCTAGACATTTCTCTGATAACTAGTCTTCCATGTTCATAATTTCGTTGTTGCATGACAGAGCATTTAGCCACGTGGACCCTTCTCTGCCCAAAGTGGTGTTCGTAAAAACCAGGTTTATGGCCTTAGTGAAAACTAGGCACCAAGGTCTGTATTGAGGCACCAAGGTCTGTATTATAATCTTTATAATAACGTAGGGGTTGACAACCTTTTTGGGGCTGTGTGCACATTTGCTAACTGGAGAAACTGTCATGGGTATAACCAATGTCATTGGCTACAATAGAAGGCTTCTTTTGAGCCTTATTACAGCAGGCAGAAGGGAACCTGTTGGCATCAGGGCAAATCCTGGCATAAAGAAACATTTATATCGAAAAGGAAAGAAGCAAGGAGATCAATTTCCCAAACTGAACAACACAATTCATAACCATGGGAAGCAAAATAAACCTCAGACTTGGCTGCTAGGCTCTTTCTGTAGGACAGGAAAACAACAAGCTTTCTACATCATTCTGTCTGCACGCTCTTGCTAAATTGCAACTTATTATGGGCCAGAAAAAAATGTTGGCAGCCTGATTTCTGACTCTTAACCCCAGAGTGCACTTCCTTCTGTCAGCTCACTTCAAAATCCTAAACACTAAAAACTGGGGAAAACGGCAATATAGCCAACAGTGCTTTTTAGTTACATAATTGAATCCCACACTATCTAACATAAAAGAAATTATACACATGTGTACTTTCAGATTAATGCATTCCATACTTCATTTTACCCTGATGTGCTTTTATACTGGTAACTCTGACGGCGCCGCACACACCAAAAAGTCTGCAAATTGATGCTGTCACCAAAAGATGATAGACTGATTCAATTAACCAATAAGTCATTTTAAGAGTGCTGCTGGGAGTTACTTACTAAGGCCATACACAGCTTAGTCTCTCTTCAAGAGTTTGCATTCTGTCATTCTGCTTCATTATTCTTACAGTTTCATTAATAAACCTTTGGAAAACATCCTCTTCTCTTTTTAATTTTTTTTTAATTCAAAATTAAAACAAAACATATTATCCAGAAACATATCATCCTTATTTTTTCCCCCATTTTTCCTCCCTCCCCCCACCCTCCCACACAACCCCACCCCACCCCACCCCTACTTCCCTCAGTTCCAGTCTTTGATTTCTCTGAGAATGCTGTTTTCTGCATGTTACAAAGTTGTATAGATCCTCAAACTATTTAGCTGATTACTATCAATAAAAAGTTTGTGAATGTTTATTCAAAGCCAGCCAAGGAGTCCAGTTGGAAAACATCCTCTTCTCAGAGGATAGCAGAGTCTGCGCAAATCTGCTTCTCATTTGCTACAGTGCTGCTTTGCACCTTGCACGAAGCAGAGGTTCGAGAAGAATATGCCCACTTCTGAGAACTTCCTCAGAATCTGACGCAACTTGAATCCAAGGCAAAACAAGCTAGTCCCCAAACTCCAGAACCGCCTCAGAAGGGTATTTTATTTTTTTATGGCCCAATTTCATACATTTTTGTACCTCCCTCAAGCTCTCTATGTGGTTACATTTACTCCTTCATACGAATAGATAAGATCTCTTTGTATAACGCAGTAGGAAAGAGTGCGAAATATAAACACCATGGAGGTACGGGTGGTAAGTCAGTCTCTAAGGATATATTAAACTGGAAATTAATTTGCAATTTTTAAATTGCTAATCTGAGATTTCTCAAATTTGTTCATTTGTTTTTTTTAAATTGAAAACTTAATAAAAATTAATTGGCGAAATAAATAAATATTACTCCTTCATACATATGCTAACGGTTGTGCATTTCAGGCCAAAAAGGAGGAGATATAGGCCGCAGAGAGTGGATGCTGCTTTGTGATTGACAATTCTAGGGAATGCCCTTACCAGGCTCTCTATTTTACTCTCAATAGCATTGTTTTTAGGAGGGATGTAGAAGGAACATATCAGAAACTCCTCTCTGCAGGCTGACTGCGTCTGTCTGGCAGTGGGGCAGCACTCTGTGACTTCCAAGTATAGTTTGAGAACCGCAACTAACTTGGGAGACCAGAAAGCAGTTCGGCTGAAACCAAACTGCACAATCCGGACTACCTTGCAAATGGTTCCCTATTTTTCAGCCAGCCCCTCTTCTGCCAGACAAAGGTTATTATTTATTTTATATATCTATTAACGTTATATCCTACCCTTCCTCCCAAGGAAGTCTAAATAAACATTTTCAAGTTATCTGCAATATCCCCTGGCGGCTACAGGCTTGATGGTGGTTGTAACATGCCCATGTTTATAAGAATATAAAAAGCAGCACTTACAAAGGCCTTATTGCTTCCTCTGGGCGTGACTCCGACAGCTTCTAGTTGTTTGTTCAGAAAACTGCTTCCAGTGGATTCAGTGCACTTCTGACCCATGTAATGGC